TTGTTTATGCTAACACGCTTTATCCGATTTGCCGTTTGTGTTTCGTTGTTCAGTTTACTTTTAGGTGTTTTCTGTTTTTCCAAAAAATCAGTTGTTTTCACAACTGACCAATGAGTACCCGTACTATTCTTGGTGCCATGGCTTACAGTTAGAATACCATATTTTTGTGGATCAGAGTTATTATCGGAATGGTGTTAAAGTTGATGGTGTAACGGCGAACACCTCAAGATATTGTTCATGCTGAAGAAATAATGGAAGAAACACCAAAAATGTCATTTCGTCAATTACATCAGCAACTTAATCTTTCTGTCGGAGCTACCCACAAACTTTTACGTAAAGATTTGAAAGTCTGTCCTTACGATATGGATCACAGCAGTGCAAGAACTCCTATCAGTGGACTTCCCACGAAGATTAGAATTTTGCAATTGGTTTGGAGAATATGAACATGGAAGGAAAATTGGTTCAAAAAATAATTTTTAATGATGAAGCATGGTTTCATCGCAATAGAAACATAAACTCACAAAATATGAGAATTTGCCAATAGGTACCCTCTACATTTTTACCACATTTCGTTTATAAATTTGTGGATTATGTAAACACTGTAACGGGTATGAGAAACTCTATTTCGACTGAATGGTGGAGAGAAATGAATTGACATTTCCGTGTTAGATAGAAATATCAACAATATTTCTATAGCAGTACCTATTTTTAATTGTACCGCTATTTGTATATACAATAAAAAACTATTTTTGCGCTAATTGCAAGTAGTAACTCCCTCGTCCAAAGCCAGATTACTTGACTGGCAGCGTTGTTCTGCATAGTTTCTTCTATGAAATCTAAATAAGCTTCGACTTTACTATATGTAGCAGCCATTTTAGGCATAGCACACCCACGACCTGCTGAAATAATTCCGATGACAGTGTTTTCATAAAACAATCCTCCTCCAGAATAGCCGGCACAAGCGTCTTGTCCACCTTCCTCTACTCTTGTGCAAATAACTGTCGAATCCAGTATCGAAGTCGGCCAAGTTTCTCTACAAGATTCTGCATCAATAATCGGTAATTCTACACACTGTAACGTCCTGTTAAACTCGATTTCTAATTGTTCTCTTTTCAATCCTGTAAGATTTTCGGCGTTTTGGAAATATAACACTTCTGAACGATATCCGACACCTATCGCTGTCGCTTCGACGCATTTGTTAGTAAATCCTGGTTCAGGGAGAAAAGCCCTTTTTAGATACCTGGTTTCGTCAAAGGGTTTGTTATTTAGGATAAGTGCGATATCGTAGCGCAGTTCAGGGTGCTCAATATCTCCCATACGATATATGTTAAAGTTTTTGTGACACAATGCTTTCACGGCCAATCTTATTTGAACAAAATGTTGATCATAGTTGAAACCAGTTCTTAACAAGGTTCTACCACTGCGGATGTAATGAAAATTGATGCAGTGGGCCGCGGTTAAGACCCACCGTTTGGAAATTATGACGCCTCCGCACACCACGTTAGTGACAATTGCGACTGCGAATGGGTACTTTTCGTACTCGCACTCGTCACCACCAACGATTCGTGGATCGAACAAATCATTCTTTTTCGCATGAACTTTAAATGTAGAATAAAACAGACACATCACTGCTATTCGGTTTAGGCACACCATGGTGGAAATTTATTTTGCAAACGTCAAAAAATGACATCAGTTCCACACAAAGGGTGTAGCGATGTAGATTTACAAAGTAGTAAAATATCATTATAAAAAACTGGTCTAAATTTTCAGGATTGTGATGTCCTAGTCGACGACAAAATGGCATATGATATTCTTTTATAATGCGGGATTATGGCAACGATATTAAGACACAGTTATATAGTTTTAAAATAATCAATCAATAAACTGTTGAAGTACTGGTAGGTGTTTGATGCTTGGTATTGTTAACTTATAACTAGTAGAACATGATAGGAGCCCTACAGATTGATCGAGGAACGCAGAAGCTTATCTTATTGAATATATCCAGGCTTTTTATTTCACCGTTGACAATATTTTTGGATGGAATTTGCAAGACTTAGAAGCACATCTTGTTCACAGTGCAACGAGACTAGGTACATATTTGGATATATGACAATAAAAAGTGTCGAATAGATTGGCAAAATTTCATAACAGAGTAATTGGTCTGAAGCCAGATATATCAGATTTATCTCTAGACTTTGACACAGGAAAAACACGAGATACCTTCCCTTCTTGAGGATAAATGCAGGTGGCAATACTTAATTAAATTAACGATATGCAATAAAGGTACAACAAAGCAGCTAATGTAGTCCACAATAATGAATGCTAGTATATTATCTAGACCACATACACAATTCTCTTTGAACTTCTTAACGGTTTTAATAAAACACTGCTCACACACAAGCAACTTCTGGAGAAAATCGGAAACTTCACAGTCTTGGATATCACTTAAGGTTTCAGTACATGCTTAACTTCGATTGTTTATGTTTATAATTCGAAAGAATTCGACTACTGGCACGTTTAGATAACAAGAAGCGGCAACATTTGTGTTAAAAGAAAATATAATAAAATAAAATAATAAAACACTTTCATAAGAAGGCGGTAAATTATCGAAAAATCGTCCCCAACGACCAAAAGCTGACGCAAGGCCAAGAGTACCACCAGCAAACGGTATCTATTAACGCTAAAAATTCCTTTCACCCCAGCCCGATTTGTTCACACCAAACGTATCGAAAACCCCCGACAAAAACGCATAAATTAAACGCTTAATACACATTATGGCAGAAGGAGAGCGAGATAAGTTACGTATGACTGAAAGGCAGGCTTACACAGATGCAGCATAGAGATTTTTCTGTCTTCTTCTCGGTTTCAGCAAATTTTTCTAAGTTCGGATTTTTTCAAAATTCAGCTAAAAATAGTAAAAAAACTCGGTCCGGAAACGGACAGAGTGTCTCACTACATCTCGGAACTTGAATTAAAATCACTTCCTGCGCTACTGCTTTTATAGGGATTTTTACCCATTTATCTTGTCTCCCGCCCCGTTAATGAACCGAATTTATTTTTAATTTATGTGTTACACGGAACGCGACTTTAGGTTTTATTTCGCTGTTTTATAGGGTTTACTTTTCTCTGAATAGGGTTTCGTTTCTGACATTTTTATGCGACTCCTGTGTCATAAATAGTCATCAGTCTGTTGCATGTGTGCGTAAAGGCGGCGTTTTTTTGATCTGTTTTTGATGCGTCTGCGTTTTGCCTTCTGCTATTTTAGTTTGGGTACGAATTCGAATGAAAATAATTGCGATTATCGATTTATATGGGTGTAAGGTTCTGTGCATGTTGTTTGCAATGTCTGACAAGCGCAATGATATTTGCAATTTGCGACTATCTGAATTTTGTTCTTACGTTCGGGGATTGGTGGTCGAGTTTGATTATCTGTTTGAATGATATCAATATGCAGATTAGGACATGCGTGTTAAATAATTAAGGTTTGCAAATTTTCGAATTTTGTTGTAATGTTCTGGGGATTTGTTATTCCTCCTTTTGTTACGATTCTCTCGTGTTACGAATTTAGTGACGGCTCGTCACATCTCCAAATGCTTCATATCTTAAAATAAATAAAACTAATTTATTAAACAAATTTACTGCGGTTAAATATCACAGTAAATGTTGAAAATGTTCACCATTTTGTTCAAGGTACATGTTCACACTCTTTTTAATTTCAAAAATGTTCTGTAATCGTTTCGTCAATACCCATTGTTCAATTTCATGTTGCAACAGGAATTCCTGACTGCTGAGAAAATCTTGTCAAAGATTTTGCGGATTCTGCTCAAGTCGTCTCAAATCATCAACAACTTCCTCAAATACTGAAGGTTTTCCAGAATATTTCCCACCCTGCCAGTTCGAACAAATCTGTTGATTACATCTGTAATGTGAGTCTCTAACGATGTTGCTTGAATTATTAAATCACGTTATTTGGTCAGATATTCTGGCTTACAAGCTGTTAAAGAATACATACACTCTTCGTTTGTGAATGTTTCATTGCGATAACAAGACACAACAATGAAAATGTCTCGTTCAACAAAATAAACCATTTTCAGGGTTTTCGGTTCCTGGCATAAAAACAAAATTTTCGTATGCAAGCACCAAGAATTTTAAAAACGACTGTTTTGTTTTGAGCTTGAATCAACGAGAATTACTATAATACACTTGAAAAACGATGACTTTAAATGACAGATTAGAAATGAGGTGTTCATTCAAAAAAGTCATCAAGTTAACTTTGACATTTTGGTAAAAGAAAACGTAGCGAAAAACGCATGTGCATGATTAATTCCATAATTGACATTTGACAGTTGTTTGTGTTTCGTTGTTCAGTTTACTTTTCCGTGTTTTCTGTTTTCCCAAAAAGTCAGTTGTTTTCACAGTGAGCAACTATACTATTCTTGGAGCCATGGCTTACAGTTAGAATACCAAATGATTCTGGTTCAGAGTTATTATCGGAATGATGTTAAAGTTGATGGTGCAATGGCGAACACCTCAAGATATTGCTCAACGCTGAAGAAATAATGGAAAAAACACCAAAAAAGTAATTTCTTCAATTACATCAGCAACTTAATCTTTCTGTCGGAACTACCCACAAACTTTTACGCAAAGATTTGAAAGTCTGTCGTTACGATATGGATCACAGCAGTGCAAGGACTCTTATCAGTGGACTTCCCACGAAAATGAGAATTTTGCAATTGGTTTGTGAATATGAACAATAGAGAATTGGCGCAAAAAAATAATTTTTAGTGGTGAAGCATAGTTCATCTCAATGGGTACATAAACTCACAACATATGAGATCACATACATTTTTACCACATTTCGTGCATAAATTTGTTGATTATATAAATACTGTAACGGGTATGAGAAACTCTATTTCGGCTGAATGGTGGAGAGAAATGAATTGACATTTCCGTGTTAGATAGAAATATCAACAATATTTCTATAGCAGTACCTATTTTTAATTGTACCGCTATTTGTATATACAATAAAAAACTATTTTCGCGCTAATTGCAAGTAATAACTCCCTCGCCCAAAGCCGGATTACTTGACTGGCAGCGTTTCTCTTCATAGTATACTCTATGAAATCTAAATAAGATTCGACCTTAGTATACGTAGCAGCCAGTTTGGGCATAGCACACCCCCGACCTGATGAAATAATTCCGATGACCGTCTTCTCGTAAAACAATCCTCCTCCTGAGTCCCCACCACAAGCGTCTCGTCCACCTTCCTCTACTCTTGTGCAAATAATTGTCGAGTCCAGTACCGAAGTCGGCCAAGTTTCTCTACAAGTTTCCAGATCAACAATCGGCAATTCTACACAGCGTAGCGTCCTGTTGTAAAGTTTTTTTTTTTGTTGTGTGGTCAATCCCACGGGATTTTTGGGTGTTGCGGCACGGGGTTCTGTATGTCCTACACCTACCGCTATCGCTTCGGCGCATTTGTTAGTAAATCCTGGCTCAGGAAGTAAGGCTCTCTGCAGATACTTGTTTTCTTTAAACGGTTTGTTACTTAGGATAAGTGCGATGTCGTAGCGTAGTTCAGGGGATTCGACGTCTCCCATAAGGTATATGTTAAACTTTTCGTGACATATTGCTTTTATGGCGAATCTTCTTTGAACAAGTTCTTGATTATAACTGAAACCAGTTCTTAACAGGGTTCTGCCGCTGTGGATGTATCGAAATTTGATGCAATGGGCCGCTGTTAAGACCCACTGTTTAGAAATTATGGTGCCTCCGCACACCACATTAGTGAAAATTGCGACGGCGAATGGGTACTTTTCGTACTCGCACATGTCACCACCAACGATTCGTGGACTGAACAAATTTTTGTCTTTCGCTTGAACCTTAAATACAGAGTAAAGCAGATATAACACTGCTATTTCTTTTGGGCATACCATGGTGCAAGTCTGCTTTACTTTGCAAACGTCAAGATATGTCATCAATTCCACAGTGAGTATAGTGATGAAGATTTACAAAACAGTAAAATGTCACTCTAAAAAATTTACCCAAAAGTACCCTGGTCTCTGAAACACAGTAAAACAAATAAATATATATAACTTCTTCAAAATATTGTAAAATTTAATGTTTCAAAAAATGTCATGTAGTCTATCCATTATTGTCATTATGAGTAACATTTTTAAATTTCAATTTTTTTTTTTATTATTTGACAGATTGATAGATAAGTCTACGTAAAACGAATTATGCCTCCACTCACTTACATATCTTAACAAAGCTCATATAACATTTCTTGTCCCGAACGGTACATCTTATAGGCAAGTTTCAGAAAGATTGAATATCCCGAAAAGAACGGTATATTGTTCAAAAATTTATTAGAGAGGGTATATTGGAACGCCGAATATCCACACCTGATCACGTGCGATTAATTAATATTATTCGAGAGAATCTTTTCACTACCGCTGTTGAAGTAGTAGCTGTCAGCAATTTTCCTGGGACCTCCAAGACTGCGTATCGTCGTCTAATAGCAAATGGATCTCGAAGCTATGTATTAGTAGTGCAAAAAATTGGCCTAAACAAATAGCTCCTAAAAATACTGTTTTCTAAAATAATCTTGTAGTAAGGCACGCCATGCATCGGCAATGGCATTCAGGAGCTCCACCCGGTTTTTTCACCAATAGACCCCACATATTCTCTATAGGGTTCAAATCAGGACTATTACTCCATTCAAAGACGTGAATATTTTCGTTGTTTAATCATTCGACCACCATATATCCGTATGAACCGAATAATTGTCTTCTTGAAATATAAAATTTCCATTTGGAAAAACTCTAGCAGCTAAAGGAAGCAACACGTCTTCCAAAATGCTGAGGTACACAGGAATATTTAGTCTATCTTCCACATATAGCATTACTTGAGGACTAATCGCAGAAATCCATGCCCATATGTTTACAGAAAATGGACCAGTTTGCATGGTTGTTTCAACACAGCTTTCATTATAGCGGATATTTCTCGGTCTATACACTATGATGCGACCATTGCGAGACGTTTGAAAAATGTTTTCATCAGAGAAAACTGTTGTGTTAGCAGGCTGGGGGGAAAAAAAGAAGTGAATAGAATAACAAGACGAATTGTGAGAGTTGTCAATAAATACATTTTTCCTCTTAACAAGATAAATAAATAAATAATAATAAATAGTAATTTGAAATTACATAGATCATGACTGGACCGGAAGGAACACCTAATCCGGTAAAGGTAACGCATAGTCCGGCGATGGGTATGCAAGCTCATGTTAGTCCACCAGAAAAAATTACATTTTCTATGCCTAATACTTGACCCCAATGGAGAAAGCGGTTTGAGCGATATATGTCCATATCGGGACAGAATGATAAGCTGGAAGAGGAGAAAATAAATTTATTGGTGTATATCATGGGAGAGTAATCTGATGCTATTTTATTGCAAGCTTCAGTTAAACCAGTGACTATGTATTTAAAAGACCGGCAACCCCGTATCCCTATGCGTACCACTGAGAGAATATTCGCGGTTAGAGGGCGCCACAAAAAGCGACAAAAGCCCTCTAACCTTCAATGGTTGTTACTAATACCATTTCACGGGTTGTTGTCTGAACTCGTACAGCACAACTACTGTAAGAGAATCACTGTTGCAGCCGTTTTAGTTTGAAATTTAACAAGTCGGACGGCGCGGAAAATTACCGACACTTTGCGACTCGAATCAAATAAGGATGTGGGAACAAAATCTCTCCATAAGCTTCAAACTAGTATAACTTTATTATTAATTGACGAATTAAAAATGTAATTGTTAACATATATAACACAACTTTAAAAATACAATCTGCACCATATCTACTTGCTTCGCAAATGTTTAACTTAACACGGCGTTTTAACTGTGAAGGGGTTTTTTAAATGCATATGGTCTGCATAAAATTCGACAAACACATTTCGCCAATCATTTTCATTTAAGTATTCCATTACCACATTATTATCAGCAAAGAGCGGATTTCTGTCCGGCCTGGCAAGGCCAAACTCGGTACGGCTCGTGCGGGATGGAAATTCAGTGCAGGTACAGGCTGCACTTCGTTTATTTTAAAATAGAATAACGGTGCTTTAGCGATTACAATTTTTGATAAGTGTTAAAAAATAACATAGCGTATCCAGTCATTTTTTTCATTTTTAAATTGGTCGATAGCAATATAAAGTTTGAGCAGATTTTTTGTTCAATACTTAAAATACGTACACCGTTACGTGTTGGTCTAATTGTATGTTTTTATTAAAATATTTTAATAGAAATCAGGGTTTCATTAAAATTAATAAATTAACTGAAACTACAATCGATAATTTAAAGGATCGTAACGGTAGGTACTGTACACATAACAAAACACAATTTTGTGAACTGCTGTTTTGCAGTTTTATGAATGAATACCTTTCTTGGAAATTTGTGGGTAAAATCTTCTTTTGAAAATTTGTCGGCAATGTCTTTCTTGAAGATGTGCCAGCAATATCTTTGTAAACAGCATTATTTTGTGTCTTCCCCGCCTCCCTTTCCTAGTAATAAACTTAATAGGATTAACAAATTCTCCTTATACCTGTACCCACAGGTACTTTGGAATTGTACTGACAAATCGGTACAACCCCTGTCGTAGTAATTTTATGGTAGGTAGGTACGTACATATTAAAAACCGGGTTTTGAGATTTCATTTTTCAAATTTCAATAAGTGGGGCAAGAACGTCGTTCTTTTCTCATTGTTAACGCCAATAAATATTGTCGGGATGTTTGAGTTTATTATGTCTCCGCCGCCTAGGCCAGCTGCGGCGGCACCATTTGAGGTGCCGGCCGACAGTGCCGAAAGGGGCGGCTTGTATCTTAGCAGTGCCGAACATGTGTAAACGGCACTAAGAGTTGTACTGCAGTCGTCTGGACGAACAGACGTGTTTCAAAAAGCAAAGTCGAAAAAAGTAGATTAATTGAGGAATCGGAAATCTGAAAATTCTGAAACGTCAGAATTTGAAAAATTAAAAAATATTGAAAAACTGAAAAATCGAAAAGCCTAAAATTTAAAACATTGAAAAATTAAAATATCGTAAAATTGGAAAATGGAGAAATCTAAAAATCAAAAAATAAAAAAAAATAAAAATTGAAAAATCTAAAATATAAAAATCGAAAAACTAAAAAATCAACACATCGAGAAATCAAAACTCGAAAACTAAAAAAAATTGGAAAACTGAAAAATCGAATAATATAAAAATCTAAACACAGAAAAACCGAAAAATCGAAAAGTAAAAATCAAAAACCGAAAAATCGAAACATCGAAAAATTCAAAAACTGAGACATCGAGAAATCGAAAAATCAAAAGATGGAGAAATCGAGGAGTCGAAAAGTCGAAAAATCGAAAAATTGAGAAACCGAAATAGGCCAAAATCGACAAATCGAAAAGTTAAAAATGGAAAAATTGATAATTCGGGATCTCAAAAATTGAAAAATCGAAAATTTAAAAATTGGGAAAATAAAAACATTAAAATATAGAACAACTGAGAACTCGAGAAATCGAAAAATCTAGAATTTTAAAAATGAAAAATTACAATATCGAGAAGTTGAAAAATTGAGAAATCGAAATATAAAACGGTCGAAAAACTGAAAAATAATAAAAATATCATAATAACTATATCTACTATAATGGCCGTTCATTTTTGGAACGAAGTTCCTTACGGCAGGCTTGGAGGAGATAGGAATTTTGCTGCACGACCGAACTGAAACAAATGTGATCCTAAAACCGTAACGAAAACTCCGTGGAAAAATGGCCGCCTTACAAGTGTAGGTAAGCAGAGAAAAAAATGTTGTGCCTCGGTGGGATTCGAACCCACGTCTCCTTGGTCTCCAGGCACGAATGCTTACCACCACACCACGAGACGACTTATTTATTTTCTGCTTACCGACGTGTTATTGTGCCGCCACACAAGGTTGAAGGTCCGCACACGTGCAGCTACCTTACAAAGACACCGCCAACACGTGAAGACCGCACCGACAAAATATAAAAAATGTCCTAAACACTTTTCGTTCTCTCATCCCTTCTCTCTCTATTACCACTCCACCCCGCCAATGCATAGTATATACTCATGAATTCATGGACAAGCACGTGGCGAATACGCACATTATAGATACATTTTACTCGTGAGTAGCCACGTTTATTTTCATACAATTTCAAATCGTCAAAACAATAATAAATATAGTAACAATGGCAAAGCAGAGTATCAAAAAGCGTATAGGGAACGCGAAAAAGCTAAAAAAAATGAAAATAAGCAAGAAAGTTACGATATAAAGCAAACATATCCTCTAAACTAGTGACAATATTTAAAAAGTTTATTGATTATTTTTTTAAATAATTAAAACAAATTCTCCCTTGAATTCCAAACATTTAAATACATATATATATATTTTGATAATTCTACCTATTTTACGTAATTTATTATTTCCTAAAATACTGAATTTCCTAAATATTTTCCTGTACTTAAATAAAAACTAATCACCAAAATTTAAGAGAAAAATCAAGAAAACCTACATAAAATTGAGCACGTTTTTTTTTGCAAATTGTGTCGATTCTACATTAACCGAAGGAACTTCGTTCCTACCTGGTGTCCCACGACACCACATTTCTTTTTTTTTTTTATTTAAATAAAGGATGAATTTAAACGCATACACCAGGCATCCTCCAAAAATTGGGATTTACTGGCATGTTGTCAACATGTGCTTATCATAACAATAATTAAAGAAAAGCTGAAATTTGGTTAAATTTGGACAAAAACCTTTCACCAGTCCACCGTTCATTTGGGGATGGGCTATTTTGCTTTAACGTAATCGCACTGGCCACAAGTCTGATGAGTTGGTGTTCGTCCAGACTACTGTTAACGTAGTTCACAAGAAAAAAGGAGGGAGAGCCACTATCCACTATTACGTTTATGGATGAAGTGAAGTGAGGGGTAAGACGGAGCATTAGCCCCGCACTTGTCCATAAGGTTGCCTCTCTTTTAACTCTATACTCACTGGTTAAACCTAAGAGTTATGCTGAGTCATTA